AAATTTCTAAGTAAAGATCGATCCACCACTTAAAATGTAAAATGTTGATTTGTGTTTCTTCTATTCTGGCAGATTTATCCTTTACTATTATGATAATTGACAAGCTACGAAATTCTAAAGAAAATGAGGCTTATGGCATTTTTTAGAACATCGTAAGCGTAACGGGTCTTGTTACCAACACACACGTAGTTCTCAGGTGGATCCCACTTCTGTATACAGCTAGAGTACGGACCCGTACATCACTACATCACTATACTCTTCCTTTTCAGTTCCTGATTAGTAGTTACTTGCGTAAGTTATGTTTGAAAGTTGAAACTTATTTACCGAAAATAAGAAGCAGAAGAAAAAAAAGTTGAAACTTAAAAGTTAAAACCGACCCCAAGAAAGACAGATGCGACTTTTCGCTATGGGAAAAGGATCAAGGAACGTGTCTAGACATAGCCAAACTTTCAGGGTTAGGTTGGCCTTTGAATTCAAGTAATCATTCATATGGGTATTTGAAAAATTATAAGTTGAATACCTCCTTTCCCTATATTAATATCTTTGTTTTTGATAATGACACAAACATTTAATATGTTTGAAACTTTTGAATGTGGTTTATACTTTTCTTTTTTCTTTTTTCAAATAAATAAAAGACAATTCTATTTTGCAATTTACACGCGCGACAGCATTATAAAGTATAAAATCTGCTATGAGATATGGAGTATTCATACATCGTAATTAATTAGGAAGCAATTAATTACCCATTTCTTTAGAGACCAATGGACTTATAACAAAAAAATTGATGTGAACGTAATTATTAAAAAATGAAATTGGTGTGAAAATTTTCCAAAAAGATATTTTCTAAAAAAAAATTGATGTGAACGGCTTTATAAAAGAAGAAGAAGAAAGGTTTCCTTAATGTTTTGAAATCAAACAAATCTGGGAGATTAAACAAGACGAACTATGAATTTATTATTATTTTTATTTTGAAATTATCAAATTTAATCACATTTTTCAATAGTTTAACAACAAATATACTATATGAACTAATTGAACTATGACTTAAAAGTTTTGGTATTACTAAAAAACCAATAATAGAAGCTAGCTATTAAATGAAAGTATCACATTTTATATATTAAAAGCTTAAAATCTATTAAAACTTATACTGATTATTTAATACATTTAATTTTTTATTTTTTTTAACAAATATGCTTAGAACATTTATTAATAAAATCTAAAAAAAAATATTATGATAAAGAAAGCAATTACATTTGAAAGATTTTTTTTTTTTTTTTTGAAGATATTTCAATCGGTTCATCGATTCACGATTAGTTTGATTAGGGACAAGTTCTGAGATTAAAGCTTTAAACCCCTTCTAAAGAATACTAGGGGGATGAAACACATGTTCTCATCCCTCACCTGCTTAATTCCCTAACGCCAACTGAGCTACTATTATTTGGTAAAAAAAAAAAAAAAAAACTCCTTAGTTTTTATTATTCACAAGCACTATTGGATTACATTCATTAATGACTAACCTTAGGATTAAATGCTAGCCGTACATGGGGTGTAAAATAACTAGGGGCATTTAGTAGAGGAGAATATTTTTTATGTCTAAGAATCATATTTCCATAGTTTAAATTTGAGACTTTTAATTAAGAGGAATAAGCTCTTTGCTATTTGAACCAATGATTATTAATAACAAGACTTTTTTAAACTAAATGAATTTTAAAGTAAACATGTAAAGAATATATTTAATTAATTAATAATATTAATTTATTAAAATTAAAATGTATAATACTTTTAAAATTAACATTAATAATCACTTATATATCAGGTACAAATATACTAAAAAAAAAGACTTACTTTAAAAAAGAACTTTCCAATTAAAAATATACAGGCAAATTAGTGCACGCTAGCAAGTACCAAGCACCAACATATGCGACTACGAGTCATTTAGTACTTTTAATCTATTACTATTCTACGCTGCTGCGTACGCGTGATCTTCCCCATCACCTTCGGGGAAACAACTTGCAGAGGAATATTAAAGCACTTACATTTAAATTATAATTATTTTAATTTGCTTAAATAATGATTGATTATTTTTTAAGTCGTTAGATAAATACTATTATTTTTACATTAATCTCACTGTTCTAACTTCTATGGCACAATTGAATTGAATTTTAAATTTGTACAAACTCAAGTAAACACAATCTTCTGCGTGTGGCTTTAATTCTACTTTTACTAATTAAACAAAAAACACAAGTTGATTGACATTCTTCAGTCCGTAGCCTTGTGCACAATTCATGTAATTAAATGATAAATAATTAGTCTTTTTAAATAATTTTCGCGAAAATAAATTCTTGTTGTCATTGTCTATTGAGTGAATAAATAATTTTCATTACTTTCACATATCTAATATTTTTCTTTATCTTAATTAATTATGATTGGATTTTGATCAATTTTTGTAATTAGGCATCCTCAAACACATAGATATGAATGTGATAATTCACTCATTTAATTCTTTTGATCAATTATTATATTTTTTTATACACAACTATTATAATTTTATATTGAATATTTTAACGTGTATCGTTAAGACACAAGTTAAAAAATTAAAATTTAAAACACAAGTACCATCTTAATTATTTTTTTAAAGTAATACATTCTTCCGTAGTATTTCCTTGTAGTCCAGTTTAAGTGTTATTTTGAATCTTTGATGGAAGATACGAATTTAAAATATACAAAATCAAACTTTAATTATGAAATTTGTATAATAGCTAAGACTTTATTAGTATCATTACAAAAAAGAGAGAGACTTTATTAGTATATGATAAGGTCAGTGATAATAAACTGTTTTTATAATCAAATTAACAGTTAAAACAAATAGGGAAAGTCACTTCTTTCCTTTTAAAATAATAGTGGTTTAATTTTTTTATAATAATTCTGAAGGTTGTTAAATAGTTCTTTTTGTATTTAGGTTGTTAAATATTTTTATTTTAATGAAATGTAAGTATTTTTTATTAAAACAATTCACTAAATAATATTCTCTCTCATTTAATTTAATGGATGATCAAGAAAATAATTATATATTTACTTTTTTTGGTAGATATCAATTGATGTCCAATTAAAGTTCTCTAATGGTTCCAATTAATCCGATTTTGAGTTTAAATTGCGATTTACCCATTACCTTTAATTAAATCGTGGGTCTAACTTATATGTTATCATTGTTGTCAAAAACTAGTGTAAAAATATAAAAACTTACGCTTTTACTAGAGTGGTCCGTGTTAAAACTCAAGTAAAAACGGTCCTTGATAAAAACTGGTAGAAACGCCGCTTAAAAACGTAAAAACGGTAAAAACTTACATTTTTATCGTTTTGACCGTTTTTATTTAAAACTAAAAGTTTAATAAAAAAAATTAAAAAAAAACGTAATTTTCATTTTCCCCCAATCATATTCACAGTATCTTAATATCTTTTTGTTCGGATATATATTTTTTATAATTAGGTCTTACAAAGCTGCAATTCTATTATAAATTATGCTATAAGAATCATGGAGTTTACACTTCTCATTCAACAGAAGATCAAAACTTTTGCAGCAGACTCATGGGAGTTGTGCTTTCCTTTTTTTTTTTTTTTCATTAAATAATAAACTTCATTTTAAGATTTGTGTCTATAACAGAAGATCTCATTTTTTGCAGTTGAATAAGAAGTGATTTCCCCAAGAATCATTTTGTATTTTTGGATCATTGTGTGCATTGAAAGAAGTGGAATTATATACTGATGAGCGATGATCCACAAAGTATATAAAGCAGTTAGAGTAGATTGGTTATCCATTACTTGTTAATTATCACTGTTTATAATTTTGATACTTGGTTATGAAAAATAATTTTTCTTTTTAGATAGATAAGTGACTCAACACACATGTTCATTATGTGATATTTTTTTTACTTGCATATATATAATTTTGTATCTTGATCTTAAGTGGTGGAAAGTAAAAACTTTACGTTTCGTGTCGTTTCTACGTTTTACGTTTCTATCACTTCTTTTCTTTGCTACGTAGAAACTCGAGTTTGACAACATTGGATGTTACAATTCAGGTTGACATATCACATATTACAAATTTGACATAACAAAACATGAATTTGAAAATGGATAAAACTTTCGAAATAAACATGACTCATTTATTTTGTAAATTGACATAACATGACAGGATACAAATAATCTGCTAATCTCAAAATGTGTTACTTAATATGCGAATTGACATAAGATATATGGCACATCATGAGAGTTGACATATTTTTATGTCAGTTTTTGCCAATATTAACATGACACAAATTTGAAGATGGTTCAACTCAATCACAAATTTTTTCGTGTCGTGTAAATACTTCATATCAACAATGAAAAAAATATGTGTCATTTTAAAGTATATAAAATTGTGTTATTTTAAGTGAGGGAAATAGATAAATCATGAAAAAGAGAAAGTGGATAAAAAAATAAAAAAAAAATTCATCTCTTTATGAAAATGAAACAATAAAAATGAAATGTCATTTACAAAGGAGAAACACTTTTCCCTTGGGGCCGTTTGGTACACAGATTTTTCTCGAATTCTCGGAAAACTGAAATTTTTAAAATTTTAAATTTTCAGATATTATCGTAAACTGAATGTAAAAATCATATTTTTAAAAATCGAGATTCCCGGACAAATAAAAATTTCTCTTGTATCAAACGCCCTTTACCAACAACTCTTGAGTTTTTCTTGTTTTTTAAATAGTTTTTTTTTTTAAAAAAAATAATAAATAAATAAAAATTCGTTTTTAATTCAATTACGCAAGTTCTATGCACGGAATAAGTACTACTATGCTACGGTCCTCAAATATGGACAGCATTTAATTCCATATAATGTTTGACCGTTACGTTATCTTACATCTGACTCTCTCTCTCTCTCTCTCATATAAATATGACCCCAAATCATGCGCCACTTCATTGGGGCGTGCCCATTTCACTCCTCCAATTCGTCACTTCCCATTACCTTCCTCCATTTCATTCTCTGCCTTTTTTTTTTCCATTTTCCCCTTCCAAATATCAAACAATTCATTTTCATTTTTCAACACTCAACAAAGAAACCACCGAATCTCGATTAACACCCATAAATAAAAGCTTGGAGTTTTCGGATCTCTTAGGTTCAAGGTTCTGTAATGAAACATCACTTGTGGGGTGTCATTATTTACAACCATGTTAAACATACCCACAACATCTCTCTCTGAGATTTGTCTCACTCACTTTCGCCTTGCCATCTCCACCGCAGATCCATGGCCCTTCTCATGAACCCTACCGCTTCCTAGCAAAACCCTCCTCCTTCCATTCTCACAGAAAAAAAAACAAAGCTTTTTCTATTATTTCCTTTCGCCACAAAAAAAAAAAACCCAACCGTCGCTGATTTTGTGAAGACCATGCAATTCAAGGTCGGCAAGCGCGTGATCCGGGTCACCAGATGTATCTTCCGGAGGTTCAGGACCCGACCCGGATACCGGAGTCTTGGTTCTTCGCCGGCGAGGAACCCCATGACGAAGATTCTTACGTGGGGTCGAAAGTTGATGAAAGGGTCGAGATCCCTCTGCTCCGCCGCGAAAAAGGGGTCGGGTTACATCCCGGTTGGATCCGACCCGGTTCAGGACAGTTCCCCGGCGGTGCCGAGGGGGCACTTGGCGGTTTACGTGGGGCAGAAGGACGGTGAGTTTCACCGGGTTCTGGTGCCGGTGATTTACTTCAACCACCCTTTGTTCAGCGAGTTGTTGAGGGAAGCGGAGAAGGAGTACGGGTTTCAGCACCCGGGTGGGATCACGATCCCTTGCCGGTACACGGAGTTTGAACGGGTCAAGACCCGAATTGCATCCGGGTCGGGTGTCCGCCGCAGCAGCCGGATATTGTCGTGGCGGCGACATTGTTGACCATTGCGATGGTGGTGATTGTGACTAGTAGATGATGATGAAGATAAAGATTAGAGTCCATGGTGACTGAAAAATGCTTTTAGAATTTTCTTATATATATTAGGTCTAGTCCATGGTGATTGTTTTTTTTTTTTTTAGTAAAAGTTATTTTTTTTTAGCTTTAGTCATTTATGTGTTTATGATTAAACACCTGTATAAATGGAGTTTTGAGCGCGAGTACAAAGAGATTTATCATTTTCTTCCACGAGTCAATTCGTTTAGTCTTACATCAGTACAACAATAACATGAATAATAAATTTTATATCAAATTTTAATTATTGATTTAGTTGTATTATAGAGTTATTAAATATAAATACGATTAACAATCAAAATAGAGGGTATCATTTAAATCGGTGAAAAGTGATCCTAACCCTTCACTTATTTCATATATTAACAAACTAATGTAAATTGAAAATTTATTATTTATTATATGGGTTGACACGCCTATGAAAATAATATATCCTTCATGTAGACGAGAACAATCTTTTCTACCAATAACTTTTTCTTATTAATTTTTTATACACATTATATTATTGACCAAATTTTAAAATGAAATAAAAAATGATAATATTCTTCCAAATCATTTTGTATTGAAAAATAAACCCTGAAAAAGTTTCTAGACATATAACTGCTTAAATTTTCTAAATTTTGATTCCGGATTGTGGAATCAACAAGAAGATTTACTTTCTATCTAATCTTCTACAGAAGAGTCAAATAGCAAACTTGACATGGAATAAAGAGGTTCCCAATTCCGGAAGAGTTCATTGCCTCAAAGCACTGCGGTGACGATTTTGGTGCATTATTTTTTCCTTTCTATTTCTTTTGTCCTTTAATCCATGAGGAAAGAACAAAGTTAAAAAAACTACATAGACCAATCCGCAACATTTTCTCACCGAAAGTGTTCCTATCACTTTAGATAATGTAGGTGGGGGCAGAATCATATATTTGTATTCTATATTCGATATAAAAGTAAACGGATCACCTACACCTGCCGAATAGGACACAGAGGTAGCCAAGTTTATTTTGATTTACATGGTCCATGCAGTTATTCATGCAGTTTATCACATTGTTACAAGCTTCAAACGCACTTTGTCCTTGACTTCTATATTGATGACCTCCGTCCTCTGTGAAGCAATTGGTTCTTCTAATCAATCCTTTGTGCATGGTACATCATCTTAGGTAGAGAAGTCACTGCGTGTAACTTCAACTTAGCCTTGAAATCTTGAATCGACCTAGAGGGGTATCCTCCCAAATCTGGAAATAATATCCCCTAAAATCAAGTAACCCTATCTATAATATTTAAGTCTATATCGATTAACAAGAAGTAATCCTATCTACTATATCTAAAAATATCAATTAATATCAAGTAACACCATCTAATATACCTAACAATATAAATCAATATCAGGTAACTAACTATACCTAATATATCTAACATTATCAATTAGATCTAATTACTATTACTAACAAGGTCTACTCAGCTAGATCATTGGACACATCCTTATTTCTTTCTAATCTACTTTTCTATATAAGGGGTTCCCAACAGAGTCCTGATGTTCCAAAGGGACAACCGGTTCTTACTTCATAAATTTGTACATCAGCATACCTCATAAAGTATCTCTGTTACGGCTCTGGATTCTTTAGAGCTTGAAACTTGCAAAATAGAAAGGAAGAATGAAAGAAAAAGATTTGTTTATTGATGAGAAAGACACATGAACACACAAGGGACACTCCCCTTCAGCAGAGCACTCTCAGCCTAATGTAATATTTGTCAAAAGCTATCCATCAATCAAGTGTACCTCTTTATAATATCGCCTAGGCTTCTCATATAAATCCCTAACCAACTAACGACCTAACTAACACATCTAAGTCTGACCCTATACAACAATTACTAACTTTTTCGGCATTCTGATTGTTGCTTGGGTATACTCCTTCAAGAATATACCTCCAATCCTTTATATCAAGTAAAAGTCGTAACAATCTCCACTTTGATATGGCAGGAACTTAGTATTCTAATTATCCTTCATGAAGTGCAAAAGCAATGAGCATGATTAAGACAATAGAAATACTTAGCTATAAATCTAGAAGACACTCACTCCCCCAAGTCAAGTCTCCAGGTAAGCATCCATACAAATTCTTTAGAAAAGAAAGCATGCAAATATTAGAAAGTTTGCTCATATATTATAAAAGCGTTAATTTCTTTCATGGTGCATTTACTTTTTTTCTCCCTCATTCATACTTTTCGGCATATCGAAGAATAAGCATTAGCAGAAAGCAGCCTTTTTTGGTGCTTTTATTAGAAGCTAAAGTATTTAACTTCCTTAAGTGTTTTTTCCTTGACAACAAAGTACTTTTTCAGTGGATACAAACCCATCTAAAAGGGCACTAAGCCACGAAGATGTATTGACAACAGCTGTAATTAACTTTCAGGAAACCGTCATCCTAGTTGAGTTTCATACCTAAAATAGGAAAAAGGCCCTTGACTGTAGAGTATCTCTTAACAACTAACTCTGGTTTTGCGTTGCTGATTAATCATCAAAACTCAGGGAGACAATAGATAACACAAAACATGACTTGCGCAATCATCTCCTGTTGCAACATGATTGAACTTGCATTCCATCAATCCAATAAGATTCAAAACCTTATAAGCAATTTTCCATGTAGCTGTTAAATATGACAAGAACTTGAGCCATATTTTGTCATTAGTTGTATATTTTCGGCAATAGTCGACCCTGCAGTTCCAACAAAACCAAGTGATGCACAGCTGCACACAGTCTGCTCTATATATAGAAGTACATCAGGTATTGTCTGCTTGGAACAATACTTTTTACCAACTGTGTTTTCAGAATTTGTAATGAACCTCTGCCCATAACCTGCTCCCATGAGTTTCATGGCTGCTTGTCTCACCAACTCATCATTGTCTCTTAAGGAATGCACTTTATAGTTAATTGTATCACTAATTAAATCACCTAAGTAAGTACCAGTCCAATTATCTTCTGGAAGATCAGTCATTATAAAAATATGGACGGGTAGAGGGCCTTTCTGCCTTAAAGATTCTAGGTTTTGTCTTAACCCATGAAATGTAGCCTTCTGATGATTCTTAAACTGTCCATCCAACAATCTAAGTTGTGCACAAAAGAATGGAGCTTGTATGGTTGTCTTAGCAAACTCCTTTGCAGCTTTCACAATTTCTGGGACAAATGGAAGAAATTTGATCTTCTCCATCAAAGATTGTATCCTTTGGTCTTGAGGAGATTCATGAATATCAAGATATAGCTCAGATCCCTTGTATGGGGCTGAGAAAAGGCTTCCAAATGCCAGCAGTGAGGCTGATTCGATTTGGGAACCTGGTCCAAGACTCCTGAATACATCTCTCCTTCTCCTAACATACGATATTTTCTTTTTCTTTTTCAGTTGTTCATCGGGTTGGAATGAATCTAACATGCCATCCTCATGAACACCTCGATGGTAAGTCCATACCGTAGTTCTACAATCTTCATCGACAGCATGTACACACTTGTCATCACTCCCATGAAGCCCAGCTAGCAGAGATCCACATTGCTTTAGGCTTTTAGAAACAGAGGGTTGTAACTTTGAATCATTTAAGCAAGCTAAATCTAAGCTGATGCCACACCATATTGAAACAAAATCCCTGAGATCAATCACTCGAACAATAGACAAAGGAACTAATGACGAGATGTCTACAATTTCAGCAATGGAGATATATCTGCAAGAAAAAGAAAAAACTAAAGTTTCATGATTCATTGTTTCACACAGATAATCAATTAAAAGGTAGTTACGAATATATAATTTTTATGATACTGAAACCATGGAATAAAGGTATGCCACACCTTCAAATCTTACTTTAAAAGTAATTAAAAGTCTACCACTGCAGTTCTGAGAATACAAAAAAAGCAACTACAATTAGAAATAAGGAAGGTATTTGGCAAATTGAAATTCATGGGATGGGACCAATATCTAGTTGCAAAATTGAAAACAGCTTAAAACTTTGCTTCTCTTTCTCCTTTATGACAAACCAAATATGAAGACAACATAACAAACTAATTTTTCATTCTTTTAAAAATAACTTTGTTGTAGATAGAGGCCAATATAAAATAGTACTAGATTGTGTAAATCTTGTCTTGATCTTATCAAGATGGGGATACATTACTGAAGCATTGCCTCCCATCTTCATCACCATCTATTTTAACCAGACAAAAACTCAAAAATGGCCAAGAGTGACAAAATTTACTAACCTTCCACCCTGAATGAGCTCAATCATATGATCCCAAACAGCAATCCGAATCTCATTTGGATCCACAACCCGAAACTTAGGACAGCTACCAAGAGCAACAGCATGGTGATCCAGAATAGGAGGAACAATCAAAGTTCGATTCAATATCCCTGCCATTAAAATAGCATTCTTGAATTCCGAAAGCTGGTTGCTGAACCCGCTATGGGGTGCATACCACAAGAATTTTTCCCCTAGGGCCAGGGCTTGGCTGGAACATTGAAGGGTATGTGATTCCAAATTTTTGGATAATTCAGTTAAGGGGGAACTAGGTTTCACATAGTAGTAACAAAAAAACAGGACAGATAAGAGGATGATAAGAACAGACACAGGAACAACAGGCAATCTGTACTGGGGTTTCCTTTTAGACAACATTCTGGTTGGTGTACTAGGATTCAAAATGATCAAATTTATGCATATACTTCCTTTGCATAAAAAATGAAACAAAAGTAAGTGACTTCTCACACAGATTCAAGTTAAAAGAACCAAAACAGTTCTCAAGTTTGTGAAGCGCTCCAGAGAAAAATCATAATCATCTCACATTTCCAAGCAGCAAACTTTTCCGTTTCTGAAATAAATTCGAAAATGCAAAGTACCCATCAGCGATAACCCCACCAAGATCAAATTTTTAAGATATAAATTGACATTATTACAAATGCCAGTCAAATACCCAGAATTTTTCTGGGGTTTAACTTTCTTTCCCTCTATGAGATTTGTTCCATTGATCAAGATCTTTCTTAATCTAGAGAGAGAAAGAGAAGAAAAGCAGAGACAACTGATGAAACAAAAAGCAATATGAATTTTCAGAGATAGAGAATCTCACTTAAGGGTTTGCAGAGAATTCTATGATACAGAAGGAGACACACAAGATTATGCTTTGAATTGAGACACCGAGAAACCTGAGATCAGATTCCGAATAGCGAGCAAAAAATTCTTCTTCACGGTTTTCTCTTTTAAAGACGGAACGATCAGATTGGTTTACAATTTTTTTTTACAAAATACGGATTATACATTTTTGATTAGAATATGACTTATATATTTAATGTAGTTTGTAAGTATTTATAAAGAAAAAGTTTGTAAATATAATTTTTCTCTTTTAAATATAGTTTTATTTTCTTGATTAAAGTGACATTTATTCATGTTATAACTTATTTTTATTTATAATTTTCTATAATTATATTTTAATCATTGATTTTCATCAATAGTTATTATTCTTACAAATTAAATTTATTAATTAATTCACAATAAATAATAACTATTGATTGACGAAAATATTTTTATTTATTTATAGAGAAATTTTTTTATCTTTATAGTCATTTTAATTAAAACTAATAATTTTTAATTTAAATAAGAAGACTCTCAATTTTTTCCATAATTTTTTTATGGTGCATTTCTTTCTCTCACTTAAAATAATTCTATGTACTTTAAAAGAACAAAAATCAATATCTTATTCATTTATTTTTTGTCGGGAACAAAAGTAGTTATAATTTTGAAAGTTTCTAATTTTTCCAGAGCACTTCAGAGTTCAGTGCAGAGTGTTAAAATAAATTATGAATTAGTTAAATTTTTTAGTACTTTTCATTAGTTATTCAGATTAAAAAATTTCATTAAGAAACCAATTTTTTTTTCATAAAGTATTAATAGTATTGCTCTATAAAATACATTCTATATACTTTAAGATTCTTTTATTAATATATCTTTCGTTAAGATTTATATATCAAGCAAGAATTTGTGCAATTATAAATTTAAAAATAATCTAAATTATAAAATATATATATGTAATTAATTCAAGTAAAATATAAAAATATAAATTAAATGAAAAATGTAAAATTATAAAAATATATATAATCAATCTTAAAATTAAATTCACATTAAAAAATTAAGAATAATATGTGTTATTTTTTTATTATAATAAAACAGATTAACATTGAATTGCTTTTAATACTCGCGCTCCGAATTAATTTCATAACCAGCTCAAAGAATGAAAGCTTACGAGGATAACGGAAAAAGCCAATTCGCCTCAAAGAAGTAATTAGAGTTGAATTAACTCCAAAAAAAAAATAAAAAAAAATTCAAGTTTTCAGAAGGTAACTGTTAGTAAATCTCAAGAGTTATTTCTAGGCAATGTTTCTGAGTTCCTCAAATCAAAGAATATATATATATATATATATCTTGGCTGTGGTGATGTTTTATTGGCAGAGCTTTGGGATGTCTCCTTGGACTTGACATTGCTTGCTTGGAGGAATGGTTTCCGTTTTGTTTTGTTTGACTTGAAGGTAATTCCTTAGAGCCCAACATCTTTTAAGAAAAGGGTGTAGTCCTCATCATCCAACATCAAATTTGGTCTTGCGCATAAAGAATATGTTATCTTGGAATTGGAAGGTTAGAATTTTCCATATTCATAAGAAAGGAAATGAGGTTGCAGATTGGATGGCCTCATTTGCCTACTCCTTTGATTGGTCTTTACAAGAGTTTGCCTCGCCTCCTTCTGGTTGTTGTGAAAAACTTGAAAGGGACTATGTAGGAGTAGTTTGATGTAGGACGTGTTCCTAGTTTTTTTTGTTTTTTTTTTCTGTTTCCTGTATGCTTTTAAAAAAAAAAGACTATATATATCTTTATCTTTTTCTAATGTTCTGTTGATGTATCTTCAAAGATATGATATGCCTCACTCTTGACAATGGGGATTTTACGGTTTGAGGAGAAAGTAAATAGAATATATTATTTTAATCTCACTCTAAAGATAATAGCAGAAAGTTCTCATTGTAATTCATTATTTTACAGCATAAGCAGGGGGAGTAATAAACTATCTACTGCGCACATGATTATGTACTTTTGAATTAAGATGTCAGAAATCTGAGGTGATTAACTTTATAAATTTCTCCTCTTGTTGAGTTGGTTCACAATGTGATCCATAGAGAAATGAAATCGATATCATATTCAAGTAAAATAAATGCTTTTAGAAGTATATATTAGGCCAAATTTGAGGTTAATTTGTTATTTCAAAATAATATGAACAAAGTTAAAGTAAAATAAATTTTTTTTTTTTGAATACAAAATAAAAAATTATTAATGTAACATTCACCTAACTACTTAAATTTTTATGTTGAAATGGTTTTTAATATAATAAGTGATCTAGATAAATATTATATAAATACAAGGTTCGAATTAAAGTCTTCACAATGAAGCAAAACCTTAGTCCAAGAAGGCTGCAAGCTGCAAGATTCCATGACAGCAAACTCTACCATAATAAATACATGCTGCTGTCTTATTTCTTCCACCAAGACTATCTCAGCAAGCACCTTAATATTAAAAGCTTATCTTAGCAAAGCTCCTCAACAATAAAGGCAGCATGACAGCAAGTAACTTCAAGATACTTCATCCCCAAGTATACTTCAGCATTAAGACATCTCTAAGCTGCTCATATCTCCACTATAAATACATGTATCAACACTAAGATACATCATCTTCTCCTACACAATTAAACCTGCTTGAACCATAACTGACTTGAGCGTCAGAGTGTCTTACAGGTACACCCCCGTCGCGTTCCATAGAAGACCCATGGGTTAAAGCTGCTCCAAACTCTAAACTGCAAGATGCTCTGACCCAAAGAGGTTCCAGACCTTTGTGTAGAGGAAGATCACATGATCGACCCAATTGTAAAGATATGGTGTGATCAATAAGTATATGATGCTTTGATCCTAACATATTCTTGACGTAAGGGATATATTAGAGATATAATACAAAAGTATGTGATGCTTTGATCCTAAAAAATTTCTTGACATAAGAGAATATGTTTGAGATATAATATATAAAATTATTATTCACCTAATAATGTGCTCTTCTGCATGGTAATTCTTTTGTAATTTTTACAATTCCGAGTAACAAACGGATTTAAGAAGTAGGAATTGACATAGCTGTTCATTCTTATTGTAGCAGAAGCTTTTCTATATGCATAAAGGAACTTGGGATTGAATTGACGATGGAAATATTAGTGTTCTTAATTTATATATGACCATGGCCTAATGGCATTACCAAAACATGCAGAAAAAGGCTTCACGTGAGAGTTCAGTAAAGACCAAAAGAAAAGCCACGACCTCACTCTCATATATTCAAAACCAAGAAAGAAATCGAAGGAAGGTTCATATTGTACAAAACAAAAAGGAAAAAATGTTGAGAAGCCTTCAATTAGACTCCACTCATAGAAACATCTTAGCTCTGAGACTCTCTTATCTGCTATTTCTCTTTTCTTCAATTCTTAGTTCCCATAGCTACACTACCAGAACCCATATCTTCATTTATGCAGGTTGCTCTCAAGAAAAATACCAACCTAACTCACCCTTTGAAGCCAACCTAAACTCCTTTCTGTCTTCAGTTGTTAGTTCATCTTCTGATGTTTCCTACAATAACTTTGCTTTTGGAAATGGAAGCTCAACACCACCAGAAGGGTCCATATATGGAATATATCAGTGTAGGGGTGATTTGAGGCCAATTGATTGCTCAAAATGTGTTGAAAGTTCTGTTAACCAAATAGGCTTAGTATGTCCCTATGCTCTTGGGGCTTCTTTGCAACTTGAAGGCTGTTATCTAAGATATGAGCATTTTGATTTCATTGGCAAACCTGACACAAGCCTTAGGTACAGGAAGTGTAGTAAAGCTGTGACTAATGATGTTGAGTTTTTCAGGCGTAGAGATGATGTTCTAGCTGATTTGCTAACAGCTAATGGATTTAGAGTTAGTACTTCAGGTTTTGTTGAAGGGTTTGCACTGTGTTTGGGGGATTTAACTGTAGCAGATTGCTCTTCTTGCCTTGCTGAAGTTGTGGGAATGTTGAAGAGCATATGTGGATCAGCAGCAGCAGCTGATGTGTTCTTGGCACAATGTTATGCTCGGTACTGGGAATCTGGCTACTATGGTGAAAAAGGTTTGTTTGATTTCTCATTCTTATTTTCCCTACAATACCCCATTGAAAATTGAAGCGTTTTCTTATCCAAAGGCAACAAATTCTGCCCCTGATTTATTTTCTATTTTAAAGTGTAGCCACTAATTAGTTTATAGCTAATATGATTGCATTAAGTATTCTTCAAGTTGAGCATGGTTAAAGCAAAATTTGAGAATGACTAGACCAATTCAATGCTTAGGGGAGAGGAACATGAAAAGGAAGTTGAATTTACTATGAAATTTGAATAAAGGGAGAACCTTAGTACACAAAGTTTCTTGCTTTGCGAGGATAGAAATGAGGGTCAATTGTACGCGAGAGCACTTTCTGTACGACGGGTGTACAGACCATTGGATGCGACAGGAGATTTTACACTATGCATTCCCGGAAATGCATAGTATAAAGTACTATAATTACTTTTTTTTTCTCGATGTAGAAAAATATCAACTGATGTGACGCACTTCCATTAGTCCGTTGTACCTACGATTATAATACTATAAAATTTTTCATTGTACGCAGCTTTATCCTTGTATTTTTAGAAAAAAAGACTGTTTTTCATACTAGAACCCATAACCTTCCGGTTAGAAGGAGTAACCCTACCTTTGCTCGAAGACTTGCTCTCTTACTATGAAAATTTGAATATGATTCTAATTACTAAAAGAAGCCCATTATGGAGGTGGAAAGGATGCAGCTACAAGTAACCGAGAACCTAACAAATTCTCAAATGCTCAGCAAATAATCTTTTTATGAAGCAAACTGTTCAGGACATACATACTTTTTATGCTTTATGTGTGAAAATGCACATTGTTATTCCTCTATCTTCTTTTACTTTCTATTAGTTTAATTACTTTTGTTTAAATCTCATAACACACTTTTTACTTCATTCTCTATCTCCGCCAATCAGAGTATCAGTTAGCTAGGGAGCCTCAGCATTCTGCCTACACACACACACACACAAGAAGTTTCATGATTTGGAATAAAGTTAAATTGTGTTAAAGATAAGGTAATATGGAATCTAAGGACAATCTTTTAGTCCCGAACACTGAAAAGATTTATATTCTTCCTCCAATTTCCTAAACTAAATTAATGGTCTTGATCATATGAAATTCAAAACTTTCATCATACATGCTTTAGAAACTAAAAAGGTTGCCTTCACTATTTTATAATAAAGTACAAAGGGCTAATTTTATTTTATTTATTTATCATAATTCATACCACACATCAGTGTAGTCACACGTGACTATAGCAGCCTTCCTCAGTATCTTTGCAGATCTTCATGCATAACACAACACATAGTAATACCAAATTACCAATAGTTCTGATCATCGCTTTTCTCCAACTTTGTGTTTTGTGCAGATTCTCCCAGCGAGGATCAAGTGGGAAAATCAGTTGCCATTATTGTGGGAGTACTAGCAGGTCTAGCCATTCTAGTTGTACTTCTCTCAATCTGCCTAAGAGCAATGGTTAATTATTTTCTTAACCTTGCAATGCCTATAATGAAATTAATCCATTGAGAAAATGATGGTGCTGATGATCAATATTTCTGAATTACATGCAGGTTAAGAAGATGTAGGTGGGGGTTTGCACTCAAAGAAGGGGGTTATCACAAATGTAAGTTTAAATTTTATGAAAGTACTGCTTCCACTTTTTGTGCAATTAAATACATTATGTTATTCATAGGTGGATGTTATCTTCTGGTTTATAAAGTGGATTTCTCATATCCATCAACTTCAAAAAGTAAGGACAATCTAGATTTTTCGGACTTTTAACTTGACTATGGAATGCAAAGCTCCTAATTGTTAGAAATGTCAAATTGGGTCAAATCCCAATTGTCAGAAGCAACAAACCATATGCTAAAACTCATATGGTGATATATGCGAGCATTCAAGATTTTCGTGTTGACAAATATACTTGAATAGAAAAATGTTGAATCAGATGACAAACTATAACTAGAAAAGTCTTTGATCGACTGTGTTATCACCATTACAATGGAGATATATAGTGTATTTTGAAAATTATCATGCCTGATTTACAATGGGACTGATTTAGATTAGCTTTCGATTTTTGGTTTGAATTGATTTAGCAATATTTTGGCTTTTTAATCACATAAAAATAAGCAAAGCATAAATTTTTTTAAAATAAAAAATATTGATAGGCTTTTCCCAAACAATTAGGCACCAAATTAGACTTTGTGTTAATTGTCTCGCTCGAGTCCAATTAGATTCAGTTTAGTTAAGGGGCTTTCATATTCTTAATTTGGGCCTCAATCAGTTCTCTAAAAATATGGATATAATTGCTTAAATTTCAATGTGGGTCAAGCAATTTTTTTATAGTTCTGGGCCTCAATAGTTCGCTGACGGTAATCTGGATTCTTGATGTATAACTCAAAGGCATCTTATCTTACTTACCAAAAGAAACACGTGAGGGATAATGGGTCCTTCTAGCTATTTTATTTACCTCATGAAACACCAGATCATAAGCTTACCGATTAAATATACGAACATTTTAAAAGATATTAAGTTGCAAAGTTGGTATATATGTGACTGTATGTTTTTTTTTTTTGAAGCTGTAAGAACTAGTAAACTGAGTTATTTTTCTTCTTCTTTTGAACCCTTATGAAGAACCGGGATTTTAAACCTTTATAGCTAGAAAGTAGAGTCGTAAGAATTTAATTACGACAAAAGTTGGTTTAGTGTAAGTATTGAAAGTCATAAATGATTAAACCAAACATAAGGTGAGTCTTACAAGAGTACTATTGATCAGATTTTTTATTTTTTTTATTTTTTTGTGGAATTAAGATTGCATTTAAATTAACTCAAGTACCATTTTCCCCCTAGAGTTTTATAATTCTCGTTTAACATGAGAATTACAATTTTCCTACACATCCTTCGATTTCTGTGCTGACATGAGTTTTACATATAATTTTTTCTAACACATGGGTCTCACATGCTTTTTATCTCTAGAGATTTCAATTCTCCTTTCAACATGAGAATTATAAAACTCATACAATATATTCATAATTGAGAGATTCAAGAGAAGTCCCTTCTTGATAATCCATTTTGACACGAAGCTAATTGACCTAATGTATTTTTGGATCGAATTTATGTCAAACTTTGAGTTGTTCCAACTCAGTCAATGTCACTTAAGGATCATGATCATTTTACAACGGTGTAAGATTTATTAGTCTTACACCGCATCTCAACCGTTGATTTTTGTGCATCCAACAGTTATAATTTAAGAAGTCATACGAATTAATTAATATTAATTAATTATTAATTATATTACAAATGACAACCGATGATTTTCGTCCATCAACGGTTGAGATGCGATGTAAAACTTGTTAGTCTTATACTGATGTAAAAAGATCCTACCCCGTCACATAATATTTTGAAATTGGCATATTATTTTTCTAATGGTGTAAGAATAAGAAATCTTACATTAAATTTTTGTCATTAATTTGTGTGAATCTAACGGCTCACATATATAATAAATTAGAGCTATTAGATATAAATATGATCAACGATTAAAATTAAAAATGTAACTTACACATGTGTAAAATGATCTCAACCCTTTTAAAATTTATAATTATTTTAACAATTAATGATAAATAATAGAATTTCTTGACTTAAATTAATACTTTATGCATAAAATGTTAATATATTTAATTATTGATATGATTTGTTTCAAAATGTATATAATTTAAAACATGTCTTAAATTTTATTTCTTACCTTTAAAATTTTATGATTTATCTATTAGGGAGAATTATGTTTACAAACTTTTTTTTTTATAAACTACACTATGTATTAGGGGTAGTACATTGTATGTTGGAATATACTACCCATAGTATTATATAGTGTAATTTATAAACAAAAAATTTACTTTTCCCTTATCTATATATAATATTTGAATTTATACATCTTGTCAAAATTTTGAGATAATGAGCCCTTGCTTGGTCATTACTCATTAATTGGGAGTGGGACATGGCCCAAACTAAGTTCAAATATACAAAATCAATCCTATGAATATATGAATGTCAAATTTGGATCAAGTTAGACGAGTCTCATTAACATTCATAATTATAACTTGTTTTAAAAAATACACTTCTAATGATAATATATTCCATAAATAATCGTCATTAATTTTCTTATTTTTGTAACAGTCATACGACTCATACCCGTGCATTTACAGATATGGGATCATCACTCTTGAATGAATAGCTCAAAATAGAGTTCAAGGTCCCACCTGTCTGCACTTTCTCACTCTTGAAAAAATCTTTGTGTCTTACTCTTACCATAGCAGCGTTTATTACAAAATATTTTCAGTACTATTCCTAACACTTTTTGCTTGGTAAATTATTTATTAAAAACTGAAAAAAAATTTCACTTAAATACCACTTATCTGGTCCCCTTCTTTATAATTAACGTCATATAAAATTTTCCTTTTACTATTTTAAATAAGTAATATTTACTACGGTAGAACCGAAAATATAATTTTATGTTACTCGATTATCATATCCAAAATCATGTTATTAAATTTGGTTCGGTTATTGACTTAATGATAATACCGGATTATTGAATCACTGATTAAATTAAATTTATGATAAAATATATATAATAAATAAAATAATTCGATCAATACGTACTAACGTAAGACATTAGCTTAATGGTAAACACAATGTCATCTCCCAACTATGTCACATAACAACCAATTCAACTTCAAAAACCGGTACTGCTTGATGGTACAGTTGAATCGGTCGGTCCAGTTTTGAGCTAGCAAAAGTTTACCTGACTAACACGAAGGATGTTGATTGGCCAAGACATTGTCAAATTTTGCATTATTAATTGGCCAATGATGTTGATCCCTAGCCTAAAGACGAAGCTTCCAATACATTAGAGTTGGACTTGATGGAATTAATTAGACATAATAAGTCAAAGGGGAAATGATTTATCCTTTTAAAAGAAGTAATTTTTGTTCTTTTAGTAATTTATAATGATATATTAAGAATATTACATAATTATAATATCAAAGTTATATTTTTTTTCTCTTTTTTTAGATACTATTTTTTTTTTTTTTGTAAATTTTTTTAGATACTGTTTGTTGACATAAAAAATAAAAAAAATATGATTTTAATATTATAATTATGTATTACCCTTAGTACATAATTGTAAATTGTTAAAAGATCATAAATTATAAGGATAAACTTTTAACCCTAAGTCAAATTCAAATTTTCAACGATCAAATTGTGAGATTTGGAAAGCCCAAGACACGTACGATCCAAATTCCAACCTCATCACGTAGATATCATCTCAAGAAAATGAAACTCTTATTCTATAAAATTAAAATAATTTATTAACATTTAGAATTACAATACATTCTTTAAACCAAGTAAAATAAAGACTAAATATCTTTTTTGGTCCCAGCGAATTTTACGACGCCCGTTTTAGTCCTTAGCAAATAAAAAGGCCCATCGTGGTCCCTAAGAAATTCAAAATGGACCCATTTAGTTGAAATTTTGGTCCTTCACAAATTTAAAAAAGACCCATATTAGTTCCTAAAAGGACTAAAATGAGTCCATTTTGAATTTTTTAGGGACCACGATGGGCCTTTTTATTTGCTAGGAACTAAAACGGGTATCGTGAAATTTGCTAAGGACCAAAAAGAGTATTTACTTTAAAATAAAATAACAATACAATAATTTGTTGGCCGGCCTTACGTACGTACCCATATACATGTTTGTACGGAACAAATAACCTAAAACATAACTTAAAACATAAGAAATTAATTAAGGACACGGGGTACGAATTTCCAATAAGCAAATTCAAAGCCCTGAGGTGAACGGCACACCAGTGTTTGGTAACCATGAGTTACCAGAAATAAAGTTACCAACCGTGAATGGTGTGGCTTGAGATGCACTAGTAAGAACATGGTAACCCTTCCATGTGACCCTTTTTGTAGTAGAAGAACCTGGACCTGTGTTTGCATATTCTGCATAGTATAAAGTATCTAAAGCAAAATTACCATCCCATTCCATCCAACCAGAAGGGTTAATCAAACTATCAAGAAAAGTCTTCATGAACACTGTTCTTGAGTATTTTTTCCAGGGCCTACCAAGATATGATTTTACTGAGCTTGGGTTTAGACCTGAGGAGCCTGTAACCTTAGAATTGTGAATGATGATTCCAGTGTTTTGGTTTGGATCAGTTCTACCTTGTGCAGTAACTGTGATTGTGTTTTGAGGAGGGTTTCTTGCATAAATGTTACAATTTTGGAAAACAACAGCTGCATTACCGAAGATAAAATCAACTGTGCCATAGATGTCACATTCCCTATAAAATTGTCTCTGAGAATGAACATATAGTGTGTCTTGATAACCTTCAAAGCCACATCTGTAAAATACTGAGAGATCTGAGCCTGAACGTAATGCCACTGCTTGGTGATTTGCTGCTCCTGCAGTGTTTCTGAATGTGATGTCTTGAGCAATAAATCCATCACCAGTAACAGCTGAAAAGTAAGAAGAAGAAGAAAAGATTAAAGAATAGTTGCATTGAATATCAATTTCTTTACATTATCCAAATCCAAAGTATTTATAATATTAATATGTAAGGATTAATGTTTCTTGTAGAAGCATGTTATAATTTTATCACACACATGAGATTTATCTCTTTTCTTTTCAGAGGGTCTTATCTATTTCAATACATATGTGGAAAATTAAGTTATTTCATGTTTGCAGGAAAAATATTAAATGTAATATTGTATTCTAAAATAAAGTATACATGTTCAACCCAAGCAAATGTTCCTATATATCCAAATGCATACTTAACAATTTTTCTACTTTTGAAATGTTTTCAACTAATTATACTATTTGATTGAGAAATTCCATCTATAGGTAAGCAACCCCAGATTCCATATTCTATTTTAATCTCCTTTTTATTTTGAAGATTATTTAAATCTAGTTTAAGTACAAGGAAGTCATAAACTATATCAAATTAAGTGGGACATGCTTTGAATTATTGGAACAAAAGGTGATAAGTGCAATCTCTTGCAACCATAAAAGGAATATATAATTTAGAAGGCATATATATTTCTCGCTTTCTGCATATTAATCTCCGCACGTCTCCTTCTTTAGTTTTGAAAGTCAAAGTCCAATCCCTCCTCAGTTCCTACAAAGCTTAATCCTTAACTTGCTTCGTAAGACAAGTTGTGTGTGCTTCTTCAATTAAGAAGACCGCCAAATACAATTCATCCACGGAAATTTATACTCTTAAATCAAATCTGCGGCTATAACTTTTTGGGAACATTATATTTTCTTAATATCAATCGGAATATAGCACAAAAATGTCTCTTTGACTTGTAAAATATTCTGAGTTTCCGTTTTCTTCCCTTTCATGTTTGATAAGTTTTTTTATTGAATTAATTGACTCGCATTTAATTAGATAGACAGATGTAAAAGACATGAATCAAAAATTTTCAATCCACAACATAAGATGTAGAAAATATACCTAGGAAATCCATAAAGAAATAAAATATCCAGAGCATTGTAGCTTAAATCACTAATGTGGAAGGCACATGGTCTCCACCAACACCTCAATCCCTAGCCTCAATCCATTTTTTTTTTTTCCATTTCCAAAAAAAGATAAGAAGCTTTTATTAAATTAAGATATCTTCTAATAATACAATTTTTTTTAATACAAGTCGTTGAAGCAACGTAAAGAGATTTGAAATCAAAATGACATCTATGCATTGTTATTTATTATTATTATTATTATTATTATTATTGTAAATAGCTTCTCTCTATCGTTTTGTTTATTACTATTAAGCTTCTTTTGTCTGAAGTATTCTAATTAATTATTAAAAATATCTTTTGTGGACTATTTGTGTTATGAGCACACAATTATGTTTAGAATCAATGTTTTTTTTTGTTACATATTATAATAGGGTTCGCTTTTTCTGCAGTTACTGCATATAAGTTATCTACAGTAAGTCCAATACAACGTCATTTTAGGGAGGAAATTATAATATTTTTGTAATTTTAATTTATTTCAGGGTTATTATAGTCTTTATAATTATAATTTTTTAATATTTTAATCCCAAAACAAACCTCATTTTGAGAGTAAATGCAGATAATTTATCTACAATAACTGCAGAAATATTTTTCTGATTATAATATGGGGAGAGTTTTACAATTCTTACTACTAAACTAATCATCATTAATCACCATTCATTTTCGTCATTCTATCGATTATAATTTATTGAGAATTAATAATTAATTAATAAGTGTGACCCAATAAATTATAATTGGCGAAAATCAACGACGATTAGTTTAGTAGTAAATACAATTGTCCCCTAAATATCACTAATAACATGTCAATAATAAATTATTAATTTATTATATAATATATTGATCTTGTCAGGTAATAATCAAGTCATCATGGTAAAATACTATAAAAATGATATAAAAACTTTGGTAAGGGAATAACTTTACGATAAAAAATGAAATAAGATTGTATTTGCTTACCAACAGTGGCAGAAGCAAAGGTTGTGGATCCCCCTCCAACACTTTTGCTACCTGTGATAATTGTCTTGCCAATACCATCTCCCACCAACATAATATTCTTTGCTTGTATCTCAACTTGTTCATTGTATATCCCTGCCTTCACATATATTACATACCTTCCACTGCTACTCTTTGGTGCAGCATCTATGGCTGCTTTAACTGTTGTGTACTTGCCAGAGCCATCTTTAGCCACAACTACATTAGCTTTAGAAGCTGCAGAAGATGCTTGAAGAAGTTTCCTGTCACCAGGTTTGACCCATGTTGGAAACTCATCTTTGTAACTTGGTTCTTGGTAAGGAACCTTGTTAAGAGCCAAGGTGTTGCTTAGCAACTTAGTAACATTATTGTTGGACATCAAGGGAAGGACATAGTCTTGGACCCCAAGATCATAGAATCCAGATATGCATGTCTCAAGGTTTGTGAGAGCTGTGCTGAGCCAAGTTTGAGCATCAATTTGGGTGCACTTGGTGTTAGGGTCTATGGTTTTGTTGAGCTTTTGGATAGTGTACTCATAGAGCTCAAGGCAATCAACCCATGCAGCTCTTTCATGAGCGTTTCTGCACTTAGGGCCTAGTGAATGAGTGTTTTCTTGGCCTTTTTGTGCTCTATCTATGGCGAGTTGGAGGGAAACTTTGAAGAAATCAGACTTGTTTTCTATGGGTTTGTTGAAAGCATTATTGCTCAAATAGTACTCACATGGCTGAGGGTAAGGGGTTTGGCTACACCATGATTTGATGGCACTCAATGAGTAACCAGAAACAATGGAGGAAAATAGAAATGGAACAATTAGAAGTGTTATGAACAAGTTAAATGATGCCATATAGTGAGGAGCCTATGGCTTGATGAAAATGATTTTGGGGTTCAAGTATTGAATGGTGAAGATAAACTTTAGAGAAAGGCTCTTGAGGTTTTGGTTGAGTATATGGGTGGGATTCATGTACTAAATTTGATGCCTTTATATAGAGGGAGAGAAATGGTGGTTTGTTGGACAATTAAGCATGTAAACTATGGGAATGCTCACCATATCTTACTTTTCCAGTTCAGTTTTGAATTTGATCTAAATTTCCATGCACGTTTGTTCATTCATTTGTGTATGAGCAGCAACTTTTGAAATTTATTAATATGTAACATTTAAGTTGGTACCAAAAAATTAATAAAGGATAATTTGTGTCTTTGACCTTACCAATCTGCTGACTTGGCCTCATGATGATTATCCAATAGAACGCGTTATGGTATATTTATATTTATTGTTTATTCAATGTCTGCATACATATTTGTAACTTATATATGTTACTTTCAATAATAATCTTCCTGGTTGAGGTTTAGTTTCCATGTGGGTAATATTATTATTACAAGAGGAACAAAGTTGCCAATAGTTTGCTAATTGTTCTGGCCTCAGGTGGAGGCAAACTGTTTTTGATTTGTACTTTGTCAACGAGAATTGTCCTGCGGGTATTAGCATGGTACATGCCATTTTAATATTTTATATACCATTAGTTAATTATCTTAATTTGTAAGTTTAATATCATATTATGATTGCTCTACGTGGGAAGATGAATGAGTATACAATAAAGAATGAACTAGCTAGAAGTCTTGCCTCTCAATAACAACCATTGATTCTAGCGATAAAAAGTTATTTCAGTAATTCGAGATCTCGAATTTAAACCTAAGAATGGATAACTGGATGTGAAAAAAGTAGCGTGTGAACAAAATACTTTATGCATATCGTTATTCAACAAAAGCGCACAAGGAGAATGGTCATAGCCTTAATGTATTCGTGGCAGCTATAGCTAAGGTATTCTTATAATCTACAACTGCAAATATTACAAAACGTTTTTCAAACTCCTGGTTACTTTTTTTCATTCTCAGAGTTCTGGGATCCAGAAGCTTATTCAAATCAAATGCCAACAAACTACTAATTACATGATACTGGTCAGGTATCAGCAACCCGGTTGACAATATGTATCAAGCAGAAAAGTATCTACAAATTAATTCAATTATATATATATTCTTATTCTTATACTCAAGATGATAAGTATCTACAAAGTAATTCAATTATATGTATATTCTTGTACTCAAGATGATAAGTGTATATATATATATATATATATATATAGGCAGGATCATCTTACACCGGTGTAAGAATAATAAGTCTTACACCAAATCTTAACCATTGATTTTCTGTATCTAACGATTAAGATTTATTAGGTCTCACTTATTAATTAATTTTTAATTCCCAATAAATCTCAACCGTTAGATGCACGGAAATCAACGGTTAAAATTTGGTGTAAGATTTATTATTCTTACACCGGTGTAAGTTGAGCATATATATATATATATATATATATATATATATATATATATATATATATATTGAGGGATGATCTTTTGACTCCAGTATAAGATTAACAAGTCTTATTCTCTATCTCAACTATTGATTTTCATTAATCTAACGTTGTAATTTATTGAGTTATATTTATTAATTAATTGTTAATTTCAAATAAATTATAATAGTTAGATGAGCAAAAATCAACAATTAAGATTGGGAGTAAGACTTATTAATTTTACACTTTCATTCTTGATCGTTGATTTTATTTATATCTAACAGTTTTGATTTTGTGTAAGACTATTTGATGCAAATCAATGGTCATGATTTGATGTAAAGACTATTTGAGGCAAGTAGAATTAACAGTTAATAATAGAGGCTTTTTCACCCTTTTATCCCTCATTAATTATTAATAACCATTTTGTCTCTCATTAATTATTTAATAACCATTTTGCCCCTCATTACAAACTATCTACCTATCTGCCCATCTTTAATCGATTAAATGGTCAAATGAAGATTTAATCGATTAAATCTTCAACTTAATCGATTAAATCTTTCTCTTTATCATAAGAACAACCTTATGTATCGGAGATTTAATCGATTAAATAGGGATATTTAATCGACTAAATCTCCAAGTCAACAATTTTTGCCTATTTTGACCATTTAATCGATTAAATTTTTGGCTTAATCGATTAAAGAGGAACAGATTGGTAGATAGTTTGCAATCAGAGGCAAAATAATTATTAAATAATTAATGAGGGGTAAAAGGGTCAAATAGCCTAATAATAGATGTAGAATTCTTATTCTTTATAGTTTATACTTTGTAAGTTGATCTCTTCATTTTGAAAAGAACGTCATGAGCTGCAATCGGCTTAAGTTTAGACCAGCAAAGGTTGTATACATGTATCCATCTTGAGTTTACAGAATCAATAGAAAACATCAAGTCGTAATTAATCCACACTGATAGGTAATATAAGAACTTAATTATACATAATCATTTGGTGATGTTGGAAATTCATTGACGCTTTTGGCCTCGTCTTTAGCTTGTTATAACATTGTTTGCTAAAATACATATAAGATTACAACACTGACAGTGACGTGTCATGAAGTTACAATCTATTCAGTTTGACAGTTGATATGAATAACATGACTAAATCTAATCAATAACACTTTTAGGAGAGTTTGGCTTGAAGGGGAGTCTACTTCAGCCATCCATCATATCTGGTCAGGAATGGGTGCCTCAATCACCAACCCTTTTTTACCTTGATCTCTAGGATCCAAGCGCTCATTAGAAAGGACTGGAGGGTACATATCTCTCGTATCCACAGAGAAGAAAACATGCATGATTGCTGATTGGATTGCTTCAAGTGTTGCTTTCCAAGCTTGGGACAATGAAATTCTGTTAGATCCTCCTGAGGAATGCAGGAACCTGCCTTTGAGGGACTTGATGGGGGTTGCTAGCCCAAGAATAAATAAAAAAACTTCAAGTCTACCAAATGAGCCTTCTCCTTTTACTAAAAAATTGTCACGACGTTTGAATTTTGGACCCTATGTGTAATTTTCAAGACTCAAATATACCAACTTCGTTAATTTGTTACTCAGGCATTGGGTAATTGATGATATTAACATTATTTAATCATTGATGTTAAGGTTTTTGAACGAAATAAATTGACCAACCTTTAATAAACGAAGTCTTGTTTCACTTTAACTTTGAACCGTAAATGTTAATAGTAATTTAAAAAAATACAACACTTCTTGAAGTAATATTTTAATGAAAAAATTTCTTAAGGGTGTTTAAAATCCAACGTGCTTTTCAGTTTAATTTTTTGAAAAGTAGAAGTATTTTAACTTTCACAAAAATACAAATTGAATTTTTGTGTGTGAAAATATTCCAATCGGTTCATTGCTTCGCAACTAATCCGATTCGGGACGGGTCTAGGATTAAGGATTTAAACTCTTCCCAAAAGTGGTACTGGAGAGATTCGAACACACACTCTCACTCCCACCTGCTTAGCTCCCATGCAATACAAATTGAATTTGTAATCTAATGAATATCGTAAGTCAACAAAGTGAACTTAACAATAAGTCTTTGGCAAAGTTTTTTCTTTTGTTTTTCCTTTCTTCTTTCTTATAAATAATGTCGTTAAAATATCAAACACTAGAATGACAAATAATTGTATGAATTACAAATATATGATAAGTAGTATATAGTAAAGTTTATTCGAGAGTAATTAATGAATGTCACTATATATGTTCAAGAACTATAACACTTATTTAAGAATCATAATATCTCCATTAAAAATAATATTTTAATTAACAAATTCTATGAGTATTTAAAATTTAAAAGACAAACTAAAGAATTTCTTTCAGATAAATAAAATTTAACAATATAATTAATATATTCACTGTCATCTTGAGTTATTGAATACAATTATTATTCAACATGTTATTCCAAACTTTCGTAATTATCAAATATTTTTTAAAAGATCAGATAATTCTGCACTTGTGGCAGCGTAGCAATTAATTGTTATTTTTATTTTATTTTATAAATCACATGTATAGTTCATGAGAGGTGACTCTATTCGGAAAGTGTCCAAGATTAAGACTTTAAATTCCTCTTAAATATAATATTGAAGAAGATCAAATACATGCTCTCACTCCGACTTGCTCAGCTCTCATATACCAATTAATTGAACTATTATTATTTAGTAATTAATTGTTAAATTAAATCAGGGGATTATCTTACATTGGATAGAGTTGAGTACATGATAACTTCAAACTTGAAGTATTATGCTATCTTGTATAAATTAAGCTCAACAAACAGATTGAATATAACTCCGGAGTCAACCAAACATATATATATATATATATATATATATATATATATATATATATATATATATGGCTTATCATTTCTCAAGCAGTTTGAGATAATTTTATTCCGGCTACAAATCATAACCGTACAAAGATAGATCAATGATAATAAAGGAAGAGAGAGAAAAAAAGAGAATCATAATCATTCAAAGGTGAATCAATTAATATAAGAAAATAAATAAACAAAACGACGTAGTTTTGGGATGACTAAAGATAAATATATCTCAAGCAGCTTGAGAAATATTTTTCTGATATATATATATATATATATATATATATATATATATAAGGGGCAGGATCATCTTACACCGGTGTAAGAATAAAAAGTCTTACACCAAATCTTAACCATTGATTTTCTGCATCTAACGGTTAAGATTTATTAGGTTTCACTCATTAATTAATTTTTAATTCCCAACAAATTTCAACCATTAGACGCACGGAAATCAACGGTTAAGATTTAGTGTAAAATTTATAATTCTTACACCGATGTAAGTTGATCATATCCCACACACACACATATATATAGGTAGGTTATACTTACAACTTTTTTTTTACAACCTCTTACAACCATATCTTAACACTGTTGATTTCCGTCAATCAACGGTTATGATTTTTGCAAA